CCCGGATCGCACCCGGCCTGGCGCTCCTGCTCTGCTGCCCCGTGCTCAGCTCCGCGTACGCGCTGGTGAGTCCCCCGCCGCCAACACTCCGGGACAGGCTGCGGGCTTACCCTGGGGTCCGCGGGATAGGTCTAAGGCACGCAGTCTTGAGTTCCCCCAGTAGTTCGAACTTTAAGTGAGAGTCCCCTTCTGATCCAGGATCCTGGGTGCCTGCTGTCTCTGGGATGTCTGGACTGTGGGTTCCAGCTGCCTGAAGCCTCCCTGTTTCTGAAGCCTCGTTTGGGGTCCCAAATCTGGAAATTTGTGGTTGAGGTTTCCCCATCCTCTGCTTCTGTGAGCACCATGGCTGTTTCTCCCTGGAAGATGACAGTGTGACCCAGCAGAAGGCTGGGCTTTGGCCCTGCTACATACTCCCACAGACTTTGCTTTGGGGACCTCTGTTTTCTGCAAGTTTTGTTGCAGTCCCGGACACGGGGAATGTAGGTCTGAGGTCAGAATCATCCAGGCAGGAGGTAGGATTTAGGGGCCCCCTCCAGCCCTCACACACACACACATGCACACATGTCTGGCTTCACCCAGTGTAGAAGCTGTTTCTCCAAGGAGGTGGGTGTGGTGTGGCATGGAGGAGCGATGGAGGTCCCTTTTAAAGGAGAGACTGACCTCACAGTGCACCCCTGTAGGAGAAGCACAGCATACCCTGTGGGGAAGTGAGGAGACCCCTGGGAAGACTGTCACTCCCTGAGAGTGGAGACCTAAAAGCAGAATGGTTGGGAAGGCTAGAGGGAGAGGAGAGACAGAGACAAAGCCGGGTGGGGAGGAGAGATTCCCCCCAGCTAGAGGGGTGGACAGACCAAGAACAGCAAAGAAAAATAGGGAGAGACAGGCAAAGGCAGAGAGCTGGAGACGCAGAGTGGGCAGCACCTCCTCCTTCTGGGTCAGGGTCTGGGGGCCACTTTCTCGGAAGGGGGCTGTCCCAGCCCCTCAATCCTATTCCACAGCAACCCCATCCCCTGGGACCAGCCAGTTCCTGAGGAAGCTGTCTGCCTGTGCGCCTAACTTCGAAGCCCCTTCTCCCTGCTCCCCAGTGGGGGCATCTGCCTGCTATAGAGTGCGGCAGTCAGGTAGCCTCCTCCTTCTAACCAGCAGCAGCTCCCTACACAGGGCAGAGTTCCAGGCGGTTCCCAGGAGCCTGGAATTCCTCCACCTTTGCATGATGCCTGTGTAAGCCTGGACTGTCCTTCTCCATGCTTCAGTTGCCCCATCTCTAAAAAGAGGGCCTGGAAGAAACATCTGCCTGCGAATCCCATCATCAGAGGCTCTCCCTTTCTCTGTGGTCCTCAGCACTTCCCACTTACCTGTGCCTACGCCCTCACAATTCTGGTCCCAGCAAAGGCTCCCCACCAAAGACAGCCCCATACAAGGTCTTGTGGATGGGGAAACTGAGGTTCAGAAGAGCTCAACACCCTCTGCAGAGACACTCCAAGTACTGACGAATGCCAGGGGATAGAGCCACCACCACCCCCGCCAGAGTTTGGTGTGACGATCTGAGGGGTAGACAGGGTGATGGGTGTGGGTGTCCTGAGAGTAAGTCTATGTGTCAGAGCAGGGCTCTGTGGGACTCTGGGCATAGTGTTCATCTGGGTCTGTGTGATTGTGAGTGTCTGAGTCCCCGTGTGAGTTCACGGTGAGCTTCAGTGTCTGAAGCTGTGGGTGCATGACTTGGAGGCGCAGTTGTGTGTGTTTGTGTGTGCCATTGTGAGCGCCTGTGCACCCGGGCCTATTGTTTTCATATGTGTATTTCATAAATGCTTCTGTAGGGCTTTCTACTTGCCATTGTTCTAAGCAATTCACATACATTAGCTAGTCTAATCCTTCCAGTCACTCTTGGAGGAAGGTTATTGTCCCCATTTTTAACTGGTCTGAATCACACAACCACAATGACCGTTATTTATCTCATGCCAACCCAGTGCCAAGCCCTGTACCTCTATGTGTGTATGGAGTATGGGTACCCAGAGCCCCACTGCTCTCCAGGGAAGCTGGGATATATGCAGAGAATCTTCCAGGCTTCACCCTGGCCCATGTCTGAGGGTAGAAGGAGAGATGCCGGTGCTCAGTCTGCCTAGGACCTTGTTGGGGCATGTGAGTTCACTGGACACTCCCTGGCTTCGGGGCCAGAAGATTGGGACTGAAGGGCGGGGGCAGCCTACTCACCCATCCAATATGCTATGGGCCTCCTGGACTCATCTGGGGCCAGCAAGAAGCTGGCAGCCTCCCAGCTCCCTCTCCTGAGCCCAAAGGGCTACTGCACCCCTTTAGATCTGCACCTATGCCCCTCAAGCCCACCAGCCTTACCTCATGGCCAGTCACCAAACCTGTATGCTACCTGCCCAGCTGGTCCCAAGACCAGGCTCGCATCTCCAGTGACCTCACATGTGGGGGCCAAAGAGCATTCCATCGGGAGGACACTGGTTGTGGCCAGACTCAGCTGGTCCATCTTCTGCTGTACACGAAATAGTTACCTGGGAGCCTGAGGGTCTGGGAGGGTGGAGTTTGGAGGAAGGGATGGACCCACAGATTGTGAGTAGGAGGCAAAGTGTCACTCTTGTCCTTGAGGATGCGTCCTCCTAAGGACGCATGTACACATGTGAAGGAGAAACTGCAACAAGAGAAGCTGGAGCTCAGCATGGGGCAGGCCTTGAATGTGAAGATGTGACCACCGGGTAGGACTCACAAGAGACTGTGGTGTGGACGGACAGGCTGGGAGTGTGTGGGACCTTTTCCAGCCTGCTCCAGGGGCAGCTTGGCCATGTTGCTTGCTTTTTTTGTTGTTGAGACAGAGTCTCGCTCTGTGGCCCAGGCTGGAGTGCAGTGGTGCAATCTCGACTCACTGCAAGCTCCGCCTCCCGGGTTCATGCCATTCTCCTGCCTCAGTCTCCTAAGTAGCTGGGATTACAGGCACCTACCACCACACCCAGCTGTTTTTGTATTTTTAGTAGAGACGGGGTTTCACCGTGTTAGCCAGGATAGTCTTGATCTCCTGACCTCACGATCCGCCCGCCTCAGCCTCCCAAAGTGCTGGGATTATAGGCGTGAGCCACCACGCCCTGCTGGTTGCTTGCTTTTAAAGACAGGAAGAAACCAACATGTACAGAACAGTGGCTGTCCCCAGATTCTGAGCTAGAAACTGTCACAGATTGTTTTCTCATTTCATCCATTCACCCAGTGATTTCTACGGGAAAGGGCCCTGAGAGTCACACAGTGAGTATGTGGCACAGCAGAATTTGAATCCGGATCTTTAGACCTTTGCACTGAATTCCTTCCTCCAAAGCAGCACGAGATTTGCTGCTGGCAGGAGATCCTCATGTCTCACTCTGGGTTTTCTCTTTTTCTTTCTTTTTTAAAAATTAAATAATGACCAGGTGCAGTGGCTCACGTGTGTAATCCTAACACTTTGGGAGGCCGAGGCAGGTGGATCACCTGAGGTCAGGAGTTCCAGACCAGCCTGGCCAACATGGTGAAACCCCGTCTCTACTAAGAATACAAAAATTAGCCAGGCGTGGTGGTACATGCCTGTAATCCCAGCTTCTTGGGAGGCTGAGGCAGGAGAATCGCTTGAACCCAGGAGGCAGAGATTGCAATGAGCTGAGATCACACCGCTGCACTCCAGCCTGGGCAACAGGCTGGAGAGACTCTGTTAAAAAAAAAAAAAAAAAAATCCTTTTGTTATTTTGTTATTTTTAGCTTCACAACTGATATATGAATATGTTCTTATAAAAGAGTCAAACAAGTCTGTAATCCCAGCTGCTTGAGAAGCTGAGGAGGGAAATTGCTTGAGCCCAGAAGTTCAAGGCTGTAATGAGCTGTGATCACGCCACTTCACTCCAGCCTGGGTGACAGAGTGAGCCCCTGTCTCTGAAAAGAAAAAAAGAGAGTCAATCAATAAAAATTAAACAAAAGCCCTCCTTGATCACTCCCAAGCCCCAGTTCCCTTCTAGGGAAAACCATTTTTAGCGGTTTGGGTAGAGGGGCGTTCTCCTTCCTCTTTCGGTGTGTTTCCAAATGGTACCTCTTTGTGTACATATCAAGTAGATAGTTTCATCATTGTCTATTTGTCTGGTTGGTTGTTTTTAAATAAATGGTATCGGTTTCTAGATAGGGCTCTGCCACATACATATTTTGACGTAAAGGTGTGTCTTAGAGATCTTCATTTCAGTAAACATGAATTTTTTTTAATGCTACATAGTACTCCAAAACCTGGGACTCATTAAGTAGTCCATAGGAATGTACATTTAGATTATTTCTGCATAATTTGTGTGTATGTCTATGTATGCGTGATTCCAGATGGTGGCAGGGAAGCTCCTTGAAATGCCCTCTGGTGTCCCCATGTGACTATTTCCTAGTAGGATATTTCTAGATTTTGTCATTGCTGGGTCTGAGAATACACACATTTTTTATTTTAATAGCATGGCCAAATTGCCCTCTGAAAGGCTTGTGCTGCTTTATACTTATACAACACCAAGACCAACCAGGAGGGCCTCTCTCCCCATGCCCACTGTCTCATAGGATGTTAGGAGGATTCTTTGTGTTTCACCTTTGCTTTGATAGGTGAAAAATGGTGTCTCTTGTCATTTTAATTTGTTGATTACCAGTGACTTCTGGGCTTTACAGTGAGAGCTTGCTTGGGGCCATTAACCATCGTGCTATGGGTTATTTGTCTTTTTCGTATTGATTTGTTGAAGCTTTTTATATCACCTGCCCTTAAACACATTCACCTCAGCTCTTGAAACAGCTTATGGACAGAGCAGTAGGAGGGGGGCCAAGCCCTCCCAGGAACTTGGGTTTTCTTCGGAATGTTTTAATGAGGCGTCAAGTAGCCTCCCCCAGATTCCTGTTGTGGGCCTTCTGGGGACACTCCCTGGTCCAGCCACCACATCAGGAAGGCAGCTATTTCAGAAGGAGAGTCCTCAGGAAAAAGAAAAGGTGGGGCGGGGGTTTTGCAGACCTCTGAAATTGTCTGCAAAATATAGTGTGACTGGGAGAAAGGCGCAAAGTTTTGCTCAGGTTT